TTCCCCCCCCCCCCATTTTGTTTATAAAACGGCATAATTATGTCTAGAAATGTAGATTTAGACTGTAATTAATATCTGCTGAAATCTTTAGGTTCATTGGCTATTGTAGCATCTAGTCTCCTTTCCAATATGTAACTACTTCATTTTCTGCTTTTATTTTTTACGAGAGAGGGTGAGTCATGGATAAATTGTAAGGTTCTTATCAATCATTTAACCTGTTCGGTACACATTTTATTTTAAAACAATTGTAATTGCATTTTTAGAAACTAAAAAAGTGTTATTTTTTCAAAATGATTATGAATTCGATTGTTTTAATTTTTTTATTTTTAAAGTTTAAATAGATAAACTAAATTCTTTAAAATAATTTTTCTTAAAAAAAAAGTTGAAACAATTGAGTGTTTTCGGATATTATCATAGTTCAGCGAGGATAATACTTATATGCAAGGTAAACTTATATGCGGGAGGAAAGCCTTTCTTCACTCAATTAAAATTATCTTAATCTTAATAATTTATTTCCGTGTCTTTGGTTTAAGGAGAGGAAAGGAGGTAGAATTTTTTATTGTTATCTTAATTTAAAAAGTTGGGTAGGAAAAATGAATTGAGATTTCTTCACATTTGTTTCTTTTAATATTAAAAGATTTAGGAAGTTTGAGATGAGAGAAATAGTCTATAGTTTTTAAACTTTAAAGTATATTAATAATATTTTTGAATTATTATTATTTATATTTATCTTCTACATAGAAGATGATAAAAAATACTATTATGTAGAATTATTAACTAATGAACTTTTGTTAACATCTGTATTGTGGCTGTCGGTTCATTACTTCCTTCCTGCATTCTTCCTCTTCACTCCTCAACCATTTCCGTTTTTTATTCTTCCCATGTGCCTTTTTCTTTATTTCATTTTACATTAAAAATAATAGTACCAAATTTTGATTTTTTTTTTTAGTTTCATTCCTGGAGTCTCTACCGCCGACAGCAGATCCGCTGAACCACATGCTTAGGGTTAAAATTTTGATTTACTAAGTCTTTTATTTCCTCCCCCAATTTAATAAAGCATAAATGTTTTTTAAGACCAACATTCAGCCCCACCAATGCAATCTTGTAATAATAACTATCGCACATTTCTTTATTACTCCCCCAACCCCCACTTTATATAGCTAGGTGTAATGTACAAACACGTGGATGTAAGGTGGGATACATGACTTGGTAAAAAAAAGAGCAAATTCATGAATCATCTTTGACATTGTTCTTTAATTTTAAAACTGAAAACTAATTATGTAAAAAAAAAAAACTATAAACTAATGCTGGGTTTCAAGTTTGGTTGATTTTTATTTTCACTCTTTCATGGTATAGTATTAGGTTATAATGTATTATTAAATTATCTAAAATATTTAACTTTTTAATTGTGAAATATATCACCGACATTATATTTTTATGTTGTCATTCAAATACAATTGTCAAATGATTTTGTTAAATATATTTCTGTTAATAAAAAGGTTTGTTAAATTTATTGATTTTATAATAATTATCTTAAATGACATTACTATTATAACTTTATTTGTTTAATAATTTAAAAACTCACTCATAATTTTTTTTAGTGTTATTCAAACTTTTTATATTAAAATTTATAATTTCAACATTTTGTGTAAAATAAAATTAAGTATCGATAGTATAAAATGCTTTTACACTCTTATTAATTAAAAAATATTATACATAGTAAGTTTGATGATTTTTATAATAATTATCTTAAAATGTATATTAATAATAATTTTTGATCGGTTGAAATTGTATATTTTTTTATAATCAAGTAACATAAAATTAAACTTATAAAATAAACAATATTTGCTTGAAGCTTACACTTTCTTGAATTTTATTGTTGATACTATGTTAGTAATACCCATACTTGTTTCTTTCTTGGCTCTTGTTCTTAAATGGTTACATTCACAAGCTTACTTGGTTTGCTATGCCTCTTCTCTTGCCGGAGGACCAATCTTTGATAACAGACTAATCTTTGGTCATAAAAATGTCCGATATGTTTTCGACCTATTTTAAGGCTGAGGGGTCACCACTGGTAAGTACAATTCCCATGGGTACCAGGTGTACAGCTTGAGCTGTGGGTATATTGGGTTTACCCTGTATAGCTTTAGTTTGATAATCGATTATGTATTTACAATGAGATCTTTGATTTGTTCATGCCTTAAAAACAATATTTATTTGAGTAAGATAAAAAAAAGTGATTTTTTTTAGGGTAGCTAATTTATATAACTTCTAAATAACAAATATAGTTACAATTTGAAGTGAGTTATTTCATTTTTTTTTCAGTATGTTATTGGTATGAAGCATTATTGATTTTATTTATAATTAGTTTTTTTATTTAAGAATTTGACTTATAATCTTTAGTAAAATATATTTTTAATTATAGTTTTCTCATCATAAAGACACAAACACGAGAATCAACTTCTATCTATTAAATACGTATTTTTATGAATTATTCTTTGATGGGAAGCAATTCTAAGATTCTTATAATTTCTTATCCTATTTTTTTATTTATGATATTTATATATGAACTAAATTTTAATATTTTAAAATAAATTATTAATAATTAAAAATAATCTTATGAGACAATATAAATTATTTAATTTAAAATATAATTTATGTTTAAAAATATTTATTTATATAAATTTTAAATATAATTTATATA